CCTGTAACAAGTGGGGTACCGCAGGGTAGTGTATTGGGCCCGCTGTTGTTTGTTTGTTTCATAAATGATATGCCTGACGTTGTACACTCCTCCATACAAATGTTTGCCGATGACGCCAAGTTATTTCGGGAAATTAAGAACCAAGCGGACTGTGAAGAGCTGCAGAAGGACCTCTGTGGGCTCCAGGAATGGTCGAAGGAATGGCTGCTGAGATTCAATGTCACGAAGTGTAAGAGGATGCACCTGGGGCGTACCAACGGTAAGGAGGCGTACCATATGTCCCAACGGGATGAAGAAAATGTACTAGTTGAGACTGTGTGTGAGAAGGACCTAGGTGTGTATGTTGACAATGAGCTGAAGTTCTCGGGCCATTGTGAGAAGAAGGTAAATCAGGCAAATAAATTATTGGGTCTTATAAGAAGGTCGTTCAGATATCTAGACGGTCCGTCCCTCGTGACGATCTTCAGGAGTGAAGTGCTTCCCCATCTGGAGTACTGTCACCCCATCTGGTCCCCGAGATATGCTAGGGACTGTCAGTTGGTTGAAAATGTTCAAAGGAGGGCCACCAAGCTGGTGCCTGCACTTCGGCATCTCAGCTACCCTGCGAGATTGGAGCGCCTGAACTTGCCTAGCTTATACTACAGACGGGCAAGGGGGGACCTAGTTGAGGTTTATAAGCATCTCAGGGGGCACTACTCAGTTGAGTGTCCTTACTTGGAGCTGGCGGACGCTCGCCCCACAAGGGGTCACAGCTCAAGATTGAAGAAGCCGCAAGTCCGGAAAACCGTGAGGGCAAACTTTTTCGGAGTGAGGGTTGTAAACTCTTGGAACAATCTACCAGAAAGTGTTGTGACGGCACCGAGTGTGAGCTCTTTCAAGAGAAGACTTGACCAACACTGGAGCGGGTTCAGGTACATTCAGGAGCCGGTGCATGCCCAGTATTTGCCAACAGTGCGTGACAGAGACGTGACCGATCGCCCGGGCGGCTAGCGAGCCGACCTTTTGGTGAAGAATATAAAGGAAAAGAGTCGTGACCGATCGCCCAAGCGGCTAACAAGCCGATCAGTGGCGAAGAGGATAAAAGTAAAAAAAAAGTGAACAAATATTACGTACCCCACACTATACCCAACAGGTGTGTGTGTATATACCCCCAGAAGGTCGCCCTTAATATTTTTCCTAGTTACCGTTACGGAAGACACATCATGTGAGAACCAAAAGAATTCAAAGTGAAAATTAAAGATTGGAAACTGTAGGCCGAAACAGAGAGGAGCACGGGAGTCGGGACTTCTCCCAACACAGGTCAGTGTCCTTTATCATGCTTTATTCAGCCCTAAAAAGACTTATCTAGCAGTTTTTACATCTTAAAACCTTGCCTGATGTTATAAAGTGAAGTCATAGTGTACTAGTGTGTGGTGACGAAAGCCCCTCAGGCATTATTCTCAGTGATGCCTCGACTTCTCCCAACACAGGACGACGCGTTCTGAGCGCCTACCGTGCGTCAGCAATGACCACACCACAGTGGTCATGCACCTCCACTGTGGACCTGTAGATACGCTACATATCACCACCCAGGATAGAAGAAAATCACTGTGTACTTGAGAAGTTTCGCTGTCGCTACGTGGAACGACTTCCTAATACCAGGCGTGGAACCAGTACTGGTATGATTACCTGGGAAGTATCCCATCTGCTCATCAAGAGAAGTGTAATGAAAATAATAGTTGTTCTTCTGATGAAGACCAACTCTTTTTGTAATGTAACAGGTGATGTTATACTCTAACAGGTGGTGCAGTCTGACGTGTTTGGTGTTATAAGTTAGAAGGAATGACCGAGGTAAGGAGGTCAATGATTGTTATGAGGAATGAGTATGTTAATGACACGCAATTAATGTAAGACGTCTGTTGTTGAGCAGTGTAACTAGAAGCATAGTTGTTCTTCTGAGGAAGGCCAACTCTTCTGGTATTTTGACGGAATGCAATATGTTTTAAAAGGAATAAATTAGTTAAGACAGTTATGGTTTCACCCTTCTTTCCCCTTATCGATCTGGTCAATGAAAAACCTAACCCAATGCCTAGTCCACTCTGCCCGCTACCTAACGAGCTACATACTGCCCAGAGGGGATCTGGTGGCAGCAACCCTTAGGAATTAAGAATAGAGTTAAGTTATCCCCTTAGACTTAGTGACTCCAGAATCTGGCAGTATAATAAATATCCGTGTACCGAAGGACTATACTCGTACTTGAGGATTAAAAGTGCGCTGCGTGAGATTGACACTCGTCTCACAGGTGGTAAACTAAGCAGGGTTTTTTTTTTACCGTAATACGAAGATAATAAATTTACGAAAACACGCCCATTGTGGCTGCCATGTTCATTTCTAGTATTATATTTATTTTTCGTAAGTATTTCTTATTTTATTGTACAGTGTCATGTGAAATATTAACAAAAGCGATATAATGGAAGTTACTCAGACCACTGAAAATGAACAATATAATCCTCAGACGTCTCCCGCACATATTTACTTTAGTTAATTATTTACGTCCAGAGACGGTAGACTCATCAGAAGACACGCGGTCTATCACAACGGAAGAAGTCAAGAGAATTATTACACTATTTAGTTAGCAAATAGACTTTCCAGAAATGGCGGCAATCTAGATGGATTAAATGGTCAAAAAACATTGGGAAAAATATTACTTAAGAAAATCGAGCTAAAACTGGCTCGATTTCTGTATGGTGGCTATCATAGACGCCATATTGAATATCTCGAAATGCATAAGGATGCTAGTTGGACACCATTCAGATTCTGATCGATTGTTCGCAACTTCCCCTGACAGAATCAACAGTAACCTGGCCCGGGTGTATTTTTGCAAAGCAAGCAAGAAATCCCACTTGGCGTCAGGACTATATATAAAAGGCATTTATCACCACCACTGTTTATACAAGGGAGTAAGATATGGTGTCGTCATAAAGTCAGCGAAACAACAAGGTCTAACTCTGTGTTAGTTCTGAACTTCTGAGTGACCATTGGTTACACCCTGACGGCCTCCATATATTTGTGGCTACGTCTGCCATGTGACATACAAAGGAAATCAGTTCTGTGTACATAATAAGTAACGCATGGTTGAATTTATTTATAGTATCAGTTCTAATTCACATATCTGAAATTTAGTAATTATTATGTTATTATTTTCTCAATTTCATTTAGTATTTAAGGTCACGATAACTGACAAAGTACAATACAAATAAGGTTTCACTATGTTCTTCGATTTGATAATTACAGCATTGATATGGTAACACTGTGACGTACAAGGTGGGCGTGTGTACTATGCAACTGATAAAAGTTTGTTTTATTTACCGAAATAATTTTGCCGTAAATGTTACAATAAGATTCAATATATATATATATATATATATATATATATATATATATATATATATATATATATATATATATATATATATATATATATATATATATGCTGATAACCACAAGGAAAGAAGAAAACACGAAGTTCCCAAGCGCTTTCGTGTAATTCACATCTTCAGGGGTGAGTACAGACTAGAGAGAGTAATACAAATCAAGGTGTATATATACAGAGGAGGGTGAGACCAGGTCCACAATGGTCAGGTATTAGGTAATGACCCTACTAATCTTTAAATAGCACACAACGGTTGGTGGTCAGGTCAGATGGTCAAGTGACCCGGCCTTCTCACCTGATCACAAATGTTCTTAATTACAAAATTGTCCAGCTTGTACATGCCGTTACTCAAATTCATGTTGAATGCTTCGGTATGTTTAATAAGACTAGATTCTATGATGTTCCTACTGTCAATTGACTTACAACACCGAAGCATTCAACATGAATTTGAAACGCATGTACAAGCTGGACAATTTTGTAATTAAGAAGATTTATCAGGTGAAAAATAGGGTTTACTTGCATATATATATATATATATATATATATATATATATATATATATATATATATATATATATATATATATATATATATATATATATATATATTAGGTCGCCCACATAACGACGACGAAAAATTATTGGGTTAGCCTAGCAACTTTTGAATGTATTACTGTAATAATTATTTTTTATCTACAATCATGTGTAAGACTTGAAGGTAAATATTCTATTTAGTTGAACTTCTCTCCCTCAAATTAACAACCCTGTTTCATTTAAATTAAGAAGTATTTAAGTAACCGTACAACACGTACATTATTAGTATTTATTAGCCTTAATTACAATATTCACTCGAATGTAGTGCTACTGTAGGGTTACGTGATATTATGTTGTCTAGCACTCAGGATGGATGGATGGAAACTCTAGGTAGTGGTTTTCTTATATAAAATATATTATATACAAGACAGTCTGGTGCTGGAGATGCCATGTGGTGAGAAGCTTGCTCAAGAGACACGTTCAGTGAGTAGCGTGCTTGAGGAGGTATCTACATCCACCACTCTTCCCTCGCCACACTACACCATACCTCCGGGTCTCGCCACACTACACTACACTATACCTCCCTTACAACACTACACCACACCTCCGAGTCTCATCACACCTTCATTACATCTCCCTTACCACCCAATACCACACTACACCTTTACTACACCTCCCTCACCACCCAAAACACACTACACCTCCCTCAATATACCCCCTCTCACCCCTCACCACACCTCACCCACTATATGAAGCAAGAAAAAAAACACTTCACCTTATTGAACTTAATTTTGTTAAAAATTTCAAAAAGATGTTCAGATACAGTACAAAAAAGTTTCATTGCGATAGGTTACAAAATATACCAACACTATATTCTGTATCACGGTCATCCCTGATAGGAAAATAAGCACTGATATTAACTGCTAAAACTAACAGCAGCAGGAGCAACACACCACTGCATCTTATAATTAGAGAACAATATAGGTGAGAGCGAGGCCAGGTGTGGGTGTAAGTGCATCCTGCGGGGTGAGTGTGGCCCGTTACTGACACATACAACCCCTACACTAACGAGAACCTACACGTACACAGACCAACACCATATGCTACACTTGCTACACCCTACACCATGGTAATGACCAAGTGTATTTAGATCATGTAAGGTAGTAGTTGATACAAGAAGAGGGGCGTAACCCACAAACACATCTCTCCCACACGCTGGAGTTGAGTTGGTTATGATCGTCAGTGTGGCAACAGACGCCGTGCAGAATGGACGTGCAACGCAATTCAACCCCGTCTTAGCACAAGTGGAAGCCTTGAATTCACTGTACGTATACACTTTATTATCGAAGCACTTGTTCCATCGTGTATTATTTTTAATTTAACGCTGAAAGTGATTAATTCTCGTAAATGTTACCAGATAAATGCTCAGCTTACTCCTATTTATGCCTTCGGTTTGAAATTTAATGTTTTCGTTGCTCAGGAGTGATGAAATTACTGTTAAATTGTTATGTGTGTGGAGAGGGTAGTGACAGCTGATGGGGAAGTGGGGAGGGAGGGTAACAGCTGATGAGTGTGAAGGAGGGGGGGGTATAACAGCAGGTGACTCCTCAATGAAAGAAGAAAGCGTCACACACGCAGGATAAGGCCGCTCCCCTGGCCCACCTCTCACCTTCACCCTTACCCTCTCACACTCACTCTTATCACTCACCCTCACCTGGAGTGTGACTCTAGAGCTAACAGAACCTCATCTGAACACAAGTTCACCACGTTGTCTCCAATACTCTCCTGGGTGGTCACATCACGCTGGACAATAACCCGCCAACAGTGTTAATATGGACTGAAGGTTACCACCCTGTGTGGGTGTGTGTGCAAGAATTCGGGTGGGTTGGATAAGATACAGGCACTACATCCCTAACCCACGTAAATATTTGAACATGGGATCAGTGTTGAGGTTCAGTTTTTCATCCTTTTTTTTTGCGGGGGCCCACTCACTATAAACGACTTCTTTACACACACACACACACCTGACACGACTCCCTAATTAAGCGATATCCTGTGCATGTATGGTGTGTCGCCACCCCGAGACGACATCCACACGAGTATCGGTTAAGTCATTAAGTCAGTGTTACCTAACCTAGCATAATGTGTCACGCTTCTTTTATAAACAGTACATGGTGTGTCAAATAATTCAAGCTTAAAAATTGCATCACCGATGAAGCTATTGCTTATTACTTTTTAGCCAAATATTTAATGACCTGTGCACTGACTGTGTATTACATGTAGAACCAGTGTGAACTTGTACAATGCAGTGCGGCAATTTTACTGAATGTCTACCTATGACTCACATGCATCCTGTTCATACTAGCTCACACAGTCATCCATATTCACCCATACACACATACACACATACATACCCAGTAGACATGACAGTGATGAATGAGTGTTGGTACCAGCTGGGGGGACTAGCGACTACAGTCTTTTATTGTTCCCTCACACTCCTGCCGCCGCTAACTAATAAAACCTTAAACTGAAGATGCCACATTTTTTCTCTTCCTTGTGCTCACTTTCTCCTTATTATCGTGTTGCTACTACCTCCCTTTATCTGGCTCTATCCATGACTCACAGCTAGTTAGACAGTAGCAAATCATCCATCTTTTCTCTACAAAAATCTTGAAGAAGAACGCGCGGGGGTTGATCAGCTGACCCGTTTTTGTGACCAGCTGATACTCGGTGTGAAGGCCACAGGCAGGACGCAGGACCGGATTTTCTAATTCGTTAGCTGAAATTTCTCCTACGATGGAGATATGGGGATGTATCTAACTAACTTAGCTATGATATAAAAATAGCAATCAAAATGTTAACGAAATTATAGTAGGCAAATTACTAGAATCAATCATTTCAAACTCTATTCGAAACCACCTGGAGAAGCACAAGTTGATCAATGAATCCCAACATGGCTTCACAAGCGGGCGTTCATGTCTAACATTCTTTTCATCAGTTTTCGAATCGGTGGACGAGGGGCACAATTATGATGTGGTATATCTCGACTTTAGCAAAGCCTTCGACAGAGTCCCCCACGAAAGACTAATTAGAAAGGTAGAAGCGCATGGCATCAAAGGTAATATCCTTAAATGGATTAGGGCGTGGTTACAGGACAGGAAACAGCGAGTGAGCATAAACGGCACTAAATCGCATTGGAGCAACGTCACTAGTGGAGTTCCCCAGGGCTCAGTACTTGGACAATTATTATTTATTATATACATAAACGACATAGATATCGGCATAGACAGCAACATAAGTAAATTTGCTGATGACACTAAAATAGGACGTGTAATTAAATCTGACGAGGACTCTGCAAAACTACAGGAAGATCTAAAAAAAAATTTTGAATGGTCGGAAAAATGGCAGATGAAATTCAATGTGGACAAATGTAAAGTACTCAGTATAGGAGATGTAAACAGGGAAACCGGTTACCAGATGAACAACGATGCCATTGTGGAATCCGACTGCGAGAGAGATTTAGGAGTAATGATAAGTAGGAATCTTAAGCCAAGTAAACAATGTGTTTTTGCTCGTAACAAGGCTAATAAAGTACTTGGGTTCATACAAAGGAGTGTTAGTTACAAGACTAGCGAGGTCATCTTAAAATTATATCTAGCGCTTGTGAGACCTCACCTGGATTACGCAGTTCAGTTCTGGTCACTATTACAGAATGGATATAGAATCCTTGGAAAGAATCCAGAGGAGAATGACAAGACTAATCCCGGGCATCAGGAACCTTGAGTACAGAGACAGGTTAAAGCATCTTAATTTGCACTCCCTCGAGAGACGTAGAGTGAGGGGCGCCATGATAGAGGTGTATAAATGGAAGTCAGGGCTAAACAAATGGGACATTACAAAGGTACTCAAACTATCCAACCAGGAGCGAACTCGTAACAATGGTTTTAAATTAGACAAATTTAGATTTCGGCGTGAAATAGGTAAACACTGGTTTGGAAACAGAGTCGTGGATGAATGGAACAAGTTACCAAATATTATCATTAACTCGAATACGCTGGATAGCTTCAAACATAGGTTGGATGCTTATATGACCAATAGGGGTTGGGTATAAACGGGACTGCCCAGTATGGGTCAATAGGCCCGCTGCAGTTTCCTCCATTCTTATGTTCTTATGTTCCTCTTCCGTTTGGATGCTAGACGTTAACCTTTAAAGAGAGAGAGGTGGGTCCACAAGGGCGCGGCATTTACCAAGAGCTGTACTGTAGGCGTAACAATTACAGACTTTACTTGTACCACTTCTTAAACGTGAATTAATTATTATACTCCAACGACGTCACTAGTGTAGGCATTTATTGGTGTATCTTTGTCATAATTTTGGGTATACGGATAAATATCTTAAAGTTTGACGCTTCTGATAGACCTTTGCAACGGCTGGTTCATGCTGAGCTCCCGTAACTCTCATTAACGGGCTGCACGACTCTTAATTACCTCATGTATGCTGACCTCTCACTGGTTAAACAACTTTCCAGCAGCGTTCAGAAGATGGATATTCATTGTAATTGGAGTAAAAAGGCGCCAAAGTGATTAATTTAAGGTAAAGTACAAAAGCATTAAAATTTCGCCAAAACTTCACCCTACGTATAATAGATCGATTCAGTTTAAATGCTTTCTTATACCTTCATTTGTATACATACCTGTATAATTTTCATCACAAAATCACGCGTATTATTTTTTAAATCTGGACTCAGGGCGTTGGTGTTTGTGAGATAATATTTATGGATAAAAAAAATAAACCCACTTACTATTTTTCTCCTTACGTCATCTCTCACTCTCCCTGAGTGAGGTGGAGAGGATGTGAGTATGAACACTAGGTGGACTGGTCACTCACTGGATGTAAACAAAACCAGGAAAACCATCAAGCGAGTGCCTGCGTGTTGTTCAAGTCCTTGTCTTTGTTTATGCTTTTTGTTTATATCAGTCTTTTGTCAGTATAAACACACAACATACCAACACAAGTACATGAAATTTAAACATCATATTTTATAAAAGTGATCAGTGTTATATAAATGCGTACAGTATAAAGTATGAGTGGGCCTATAGCGATTTTCCGTGACCCAAGTTCCTTTTTAATATATATTTCGAGACAATACTGAATCCTTTGTTTCTGTATATTACTTCAGGTCCAAGTACAGTATATCCATCGAGATGACCCTCTGCAGCGTTACGCATTAACCCATAACTTTACATCCCGTCATGACTTCAAATAGCCTACCGTTAACTTTGTTGCTTTATTCCGTCTTATGATTCATGTACGTCTTTTTCAGTTCTTCATCTCCTTTAAACAATTTTCAGTGCGTGGAGTTATCTCCGTCATTTCATTAGCAAAAGTAGAGATTCAACTCCTGTCATTGACAGTTAACACTCAATACTCACTGATGACAGAGAGATCTACCCCTTTTAATTGCTGTTGACTAATGTATGAACTAACTTTTACTACACGCTTAAAGATTTAGTTGTTAAAGCACAGTAAATATTTTAAAAACAATAACTGGCAACAATGAACATGATGAAACCTTATTAAACTGGTTCTCTGTTGTTACACAGCGACTGTGACGAGAGGCTCCTGCCTCCTGCAGTCTGCCATGGCAACACTGTACAAGGTGTACATACATACAGTACACACCACGTTATTCTGGCATTATAAGTCAGATAGAGTTACAAATAAAGTGCATACCTCTATGTGCACACAATATTATATACAAAAACATACACACATAGTCACACACAAATATACACTTGTTATCGCTTATCAGTCACACATTTCAAAGCTTTGGAAAATGTCACTGGCAAATTTTGAGAACTATTAAGCTTATTTACCTGACATCCACTGTAATCCCTGTGCGTAAATCTTAACTATGCTGTGAAACTCATGGAGGGAAGATGTCCATGCAACAAGATGGAGGCGGAGCTGGCGGGAGATTGTCCAGTGACGTCAAGATGGTATTACGGTGCTTGAACAACTACTAAGGTATTTAAACGCGTAACAAGATCAGTAATTACACTTGTCCATCAAGAATTAAACATTATGAGAGACACCGCCGCAGTTGTGAAATAAGTGGAGTAGGAATTACCAAAGTAAATGAAGTACAGTACAGTACCACCAAAGAGGAAAACCTCCCACAATGGAATACCAGATTACTCCGTTGATAAACAGTCGTCGGTAACAATGGTGCGATTAAACTACCTGAACCAGATTGATGATACTTATCCAACCAATGTTAACAACGATATTTGTCTGTCATAGTTATTTGAATTATCAGATAAAAAAAAAATGCAACATTTTTCAGTTCAGTTGATCGTGAACAATAGGACTTGGATTGTAGTGGATATCTCCCCTACAACCGCCGTTTGTCGCTGAATAGCCGACCCTCTTCGAATTCCTCAGAGTACGCCTTGTGGTCTAGGTCGGCAACCAGCGCCACCTAACATAGCGGAGGTCAACTATCAAGCCACGCCTACCCACGCTATATAAGACCTCACGTGGCCATGACCTACTTCTTTCGGCTACCGACAGCCACCAGCAAACAACACCTCCTCTGCTCCTGCCTGGTGGCCCTCGCTCTCGCCGGCGACTATGGCGCTCCATAAGCTCTGAGCACGCTCCCCAACCAGCTCTCTCTTTCTTCTACCTACAGCCAGTGACTCAGTCAACCCACGCTGCCACTCCCCAGCACCAAGCTGCATTGTACATCCAATACAATATGTATACAGAGAGTACATTGTGAGTTTCCTTTCTCCAACCCATCCTGAGTGTGAACAAATATATCATAACCCCCACAGGATCACCTGAAGAATCTCCACTCCAGCTTATGTCTCCTAAATATAAACCACCTTAACGTAACGAGTATCTATTTTAACCTAAATTCATCTCATATAGTTTTAGGGTGGTTAATTTTCAGGTAAAATAAGCTGGGGTGGAGATTCTTCAGGTGACCCTACTGTGCGAGCAGTAAGTAAGGAGATTTGTTTAACTCCTATGTGCCTAGCTTGTCAGTATCATGGTTTTTCGTCGTAGTGGTCTAAGTGTGGATTATATTATATAATGATTATAATATATTGTGCTTCTTATATTTCTTACCGTAAAGTTCGATACCTTCACACTGGTTACTTACAGGAGATTATGATGTATCTACGTAGAAATTCACTCCACCACCCGACATTCCATGATTTATACTTGATAAATGATGATTTAATGAGTTCCATTAATTTCCAACATCCATCTAAGTTATTGGTTATACTTTGTCATAACCAATCAGTCATTACCTTTAGTAATAATAAGATAGGATCACAGATACGGGCAGATAATTGCACTTACATTTATTTGTCAATCTTCCATACAATGATTTACAATTTGCATGGATATACGAGTCACTTACATTTACGCTGTAATAAAATTAATCTTCTAAAAGAGGGAATTTTCAACTTGGGGACACATGTGATTACTCTACTGTGGTATGACTTAACAGAGCCTTAATCTCTTCAAGTGATACATATACTGCCAGCCTGGATTGCTCTTGTTGCAGAGCCTTAATTCTTCAAGTGATACATATACTGCCAGCCTGGATTGCTCTTGTTGCAACCAGGCTTCCGCACAAGAACTTCTTTCCACGGGGAATAACAACAAAAAGGTACTCTTGGGTTACCACACATAGTCTCGCGTCACTGACAGTCACTGTAGACAGTTGTCGCGGCAAGGAGAACTGGTAAGCGTGATTTGATTAACCACATAGGTGCAATAGGCCAGCCTGGATTGCTTTTGTCGCAACCAGGCTTCCACACGTGATAACAAACCTAGGTTAACACACTTGATCTCGTGTCGACGACGGTCCACAGGACAGGGTGGCGTTGGAGGACTGTGTGGTGTCCCGTTCCCTTCAGGAGGAAGAAGGTGGACGTCTTAACTAACCCATGGCCTAGGGGATACTACTTAAAATGTGGTTTTTGGGGGCGTGAGGCGATGAACAGCACAACACTGTCTCACTGGCTTCCCCCTATAGGCTGGCTAACATACCACTAATGGAAAATATATGTGGCAGTCATGGCTCGCCGGGTGCCTCGTCACTAGTAAAAAAAACTTTGGAGTGGTTGCGTGGGTAAGCCTAACGCAACCCATGACAACCAGTTTAATGTTATTATTGTCAAAAGAATAATAAAGGTGCCTCTTCCAGTTGGCAACAGCACTCGCCTCCTGTCATGTGAATGGTTACCAGACTTTAAAGTTAAGGAGGCAAGGGTGGTCGAGTGCAGTGTTTACGGAGGGCTTGGTATAGTTTCTTGCATGTGTACTGATACGGTCAGACCCACTCACTTTTTCACTCAAAATTCGTACAGCCAATAGTTATTCTTGCCATTGGTAAAATTACTAAATTAAATAAGGCTTTTTTCAGAAGTAATGTGTTGACCAGAGTTGAGGGTGACGTGTACACCATGGCGTGGCGCGCGCCCCTGGACCTACAGGCATGGGCGGCACGGGCAGCAGTAGTCCCCCTGGTGGCTCACACCGAGAACAGAATTCGACTCAATCTGGACATAGTCCCAGCCGAAGTGTTGATCGCCAGAGCCACGGCAGGGCTCCTCCTACACGACGACGATGACACGGACGAGGAGGACGCGAGCGAGGTGTGGAGGAGGCAGGAGGGTCGCCGACAAGGTGCGTCTTACCAGGAGGTCGACATAATGGACTACGCTCTGCTGGAAGTGAAGGCGAGAGCTCTGCCTCGTGTTGTTGGTGCAGCCACTGTCTATATTACTGTACACACTGTACTTCTGTTGTTGTAGCCACTTTACTGAACATACACTCGACTTCACGTCTAAATCACATTTATCGCTAAACAATGTGATCATGAATAACAAAACAAATACCACATTATCTGCTTGGACAAAAATGAGATAGTATCAGTTTGTCGGAATTGTTGAGATAATTTTGTTTTATTCAGTCCGCTAGCATATTTATTATTTGTTTGTAACACACACACACACACACACACACACACATGTGATCATGTAACAGCAAGGCACAGGATCACGAAGAACAAGAAGCAAGTAATCAATAAAGTAATTATTTTTTTATTATTTTATTTATTTTTTTTATAGGCGACACTATCGTCAGTGCGGGCGTGGTGGGGGACAGTCCCAGGGTTGCAGGCTGGCCCTGGACACCGTCTGAGAGCTGCCCTGGACACCCACACTGAGGTTCATCCACGACACGACCAAGATTACCCGAGACACCTCACTGGCCTCCTCCTCAAGCTTGTTCTTCTTGACAATGTGTTCATCGACCGAGACTACGGCGACAAGGACAGACGGTGTGTGGTGCCTTTTGCCTGGGAGCGGTGGGTGGCACAGCTAATATCTAGACTGGGACCCTTTCCTCACCTGCAGGAGTTGAAGGTCTACGGTGGGATGTACCCCAGCATCCTTGCCTCCATACTGTGGGGAGCACCTCACCTCACCTCACTCTTCATCTCTCACATCAACATCACCGACAATATCATCATGGCAGTGAGCAGGTCGTGTCCTATGCTCGAGAAGCTTTACTTGCTCCATAGTTTTCCTTGGCAGGTAATATCAATGAAAGCCTTTTGTGCTGCATTTTTTGAAGGAGCGTCAAAAAGAGAACTTCTTAAAGCAATCAGGACTGGCCAGACAAGTAATATAAGCGTGACTTTTACATCATTGAAGGAAATAGAACTTGCCTACGGTGAAATTGAAGTGGCAAAAGAATTCCACAAATTATTGTTGACTTATTATCCTAATTTATCAAAAGTGAGTTCTGACTGGAAGACGAATCTTTTTGAAGATGGTTACTCTGGCCATGGTTACGACGTGTTGTTACCTGTCGTGTCCAAGGGCAACCATCTGTCTTTATTAAGTGTATTCCTAGACGGGGAGACCGTGTACAGCTTGGATCTGGAGAGGCTCCACCAGCTGGCGTGGTGTTGCCCCCTAGTGAAGGCTCTCACCCTGGACTGTGCCGTTCATGGTACGCCAAGAGTGTGTGAGGCTGCTGGCAGGCAGCTGGCTGAGCTTACAGGAGAATGGTCACACTTGTCGGAGTTGCATGTGAACTTGAGCATTGAGGACCACCTCACTCACGCCATACTGATGCCCACACTCCGTGCTCATGGTTATCTCCTCAGGTCCCTTACTATTGAGGCAAATTCTCCAAGCCAGAGACTCCACGCAGCCACGCTATACCTGTTCCTGCAACTGTGTCCCAACCTCACCAAACTTGGCCTCCGAGTGTGGAACAGGTACATGTTTGAAGCTCCTCTTGAAACTGAGGAGAACATTGAAATGCCCAAGTGTGGAAGCCTTGAGGAAATAAGCCTGCATGAGGATGGTCCTGGTGATAATGATGAGCCACCGGCTGAGGCGGGGCACCTGGCACGGTGGCTGGCACTCTTGCAGGCCCTAATAGCTGCCACGCCAAAGCTTTTCACCCTCAGCGTGAGTGTGTGTCATGGTCTGGCACTATTGCTAGATAAACTTACTTGTGATGCACAAGTTCTCCACTTGCATGTTAAAGATGGCTATGAATGGCAACCAACGGCAGACCAAGTGTGTCAACTGGTGAGTCGTCTGCCACACCTTCAGCACTTGTATTTAGAGGAAGTGTCAGGACGTATATTCTGGCGTGTGTGGCGGCGGTGTCAGCACACGGGCCTCACACTCCACTGGGGCAACCTGCAAGGCTGGCCCAGAACTTAACGATATTCACCGCTTGTGAAATAACGATCTAATAAATGTGTTATATTTTTCTAATGTCTCTTTATTAAAATTAAATTTAATATACTTAGAAATTAATTTTATTAACCAAACTACCTATTGTGCATGTATTAAGTGAGCTGATCCATAATTTATGATGAGGAAGCAGCTTGTATACTGCATACCATGAACCATAACGATGCCCACTTGTAGCTGTATTCTTACACACGCACTTAATACATTAATGCATACAAAGGACCTTTATCATAAACACCTCAAGTGTTTACTTAATACCAACACAAAAGATTAACTACATCATTACTACTTCTTTACAACGAACGCTAGTACAGTATTACATCTTCACTACAGCAATAAATACGACATGTTTACTACAACACGCACTTCCTACCATATACTGCACAGCATATGAAGGAAGTGATAACATTACATGATAGGCATGTGTTCAAACGCGTGTAATGTCGTCCAGTAAGTCCTTAGTATTTTATTTTAAAAGGCTTTATTATTATAAGACCAAAGTCAGTCGACGAAGATAATAATTGGTGATCATTCTGTTAACCCACGAAAACAACAGCAAAATCAAGTAAATAAACTAGTAGGATATACTATAAACGGGTCATAATATCCAGAAAAAGTTTATAAACACTTCTGAGAACATTACTGCAGTCTAATGTTCATACCTGCAACTGGCGGAATGTGGCCACAGTCTCGGGTTAAAGAAGCCGCAAGTCCAGAAAATTGTCAGGGCGTTCGATTTTGGAGTGAAAATTGTAAATTTTTAAAATAATCTGCCAGAGAGTGGTGTGGCGACACAGCGGATGGGCTTATTCAAGAGTCAAGACTAACACTGCTGACTGGCGCGGGCGCAGTTAACGGACCGATCAGTGGTGAAAAGCTTAAAGTAAATTATTTTATACATATGAGATTATACATTATTATAGATGTATTATAATTTTAATTTGCTAATTATCATAAATATAACTTCATACTGATATTTTAGATACAGCATTTCTGAATCCTAAAGAGGGAATCCGACTGAATACAGCAGGTGAGCCAGAAGGTAAACAACAGCTGATCAGTCACCCCACCGCCGAACAACAGCTGATCAGTCACCCCACCGCCGAACAACAGCTGATCAGTCGCCCCACCGCCGAACAACAGCTGATCAGTCACCCCACCGCCGGCTGATCAGTCACCCCACCGCCGAACAACAGCTGATCAGTCACTGATCAGTGTGGTGTATCGGTGGTCTGACACTATAAAGTCAAGAGGAGGTGTACTCTTAGGGTCGATTATCATGTATTCACTTTCACGGGTAAGACATGGAATTTTAATGCTGTACTGAGAATTAGAAGAAAGATTGTTTTTTGTCTCGAATATTACAATGAAGTTTCCGATTTCTTCGTGGTGGATAAATATACAATGACCTGCCACCATTATCAGCTGACCAGAGACAAATAATTCATTGTAACGGAGACTCTTCACTGTGTGGTGATTACAACCTAAGACGCTAATAGTGTAGATAAATTGTACTATGGAAGAATTGTTAAGAGTAAAGTAGATTTGGTTAGGTTACATTAGCATAGATTAGGCTTGGTAAGGTTCATATAGATTAAGTTAGGTTTAGTTGGAGTTGATTTGGCAAGGTTAGATTAAGTTTGGTTAGCTTAACCTAGTTCAACTTAGGTTTGGTTAAATATCACAGATTTTTTTTTATATCATATGTTATATAGCTAGTGCACAAATAAGGAGAGAATGATAGTAAAATAATTAATGTAAAATATATTTGAATTCTTATTAATTACAGTATTAAACTTTCACAGGTAGCAGCACGATGTCTAGCTACAGCACAGCGGTCACTCTCCTCCTCCATTCAGACATGTGGCAGGATCGAGACGGAACCTCCTTATTTAGATGTAAGTTGAACCTTAGATTATTATAAACTGATATTTACTTAATTGTAGGTTTCTATTGTTCAGCCAGTAAACAAACCTGCATAATAAATATTTTCTCTTCATAGGCAGGGGGGCCAGATGTACCGGATTATTCTCTAGTCAATGTACAAATGAAGGGCTACGACTTCACTGTGTTGGAACATTATGCCAGATGGGTCCACAAAACAGCCCTCAACATGGGCTTTGATGTTGAAGACAGGTTAGTTATATGTATGACTAAAATCACTCATTGCGTACGAGAAAAGAAAATGTGGATTTCTCTAACAGTGAGAAATTTGTTATCTAAAAAAAATACATGTGAACCCCAAAAGTATATATAAAAGAACTGTAATATGAATATGGAAGTACATTAAGGTAAGAATAAGAAATAGCTATGTTGGGGGGATAATTTAAACAATACCTTTATATAACTGTCAAGGTGCTGGCTATGTTCATCCACAACATGTACAGTGCAGTAATGCTCTTGGTGATAATTTTTAACTTGGTGTGTAGTGTAGCTTGCGGAAGGTCATCCTCAAAAGTTCGCAAGGAAAAAGACTAAAGGTTAAGTTCTAGCTGACAGTGTATCCTCAAATACAAATTTATTTTCTTATGATAATTTTTATTAGATATAGTTTCTCCCACCAGCTGGGCAACTCCCTGTAAGAAGCTCCTCATTCAGAACTACAGACCCAACACTTCCAAAGTGGAAGCTGAATACAATTTCAACATTTATGAACGAACTGTACAGGTGAGTTGTGTTCTCAATATTGTTGATATTTTATAGTACTGTATATGGGTCCATGGGTGCCCTGTGAGGCATACCACCACTAGGCATCTCGCACAAAGACCGTAATGTAGTCCAGCTGCTGAGTACCTCATGCTCCCCAACCAGTGGTAGGCCTCCCCTCAGGTATTTAAGTCACTCATTTCACTCTCTTGCCTATAAAATGGGAGTTTATGCTTCAATTTTCCAATATTTATATTAGTTGTTGTTTCTATGAAGGAAAGGGAGATGGTGATGGAAGAGCAGCAAGTACCTCATGATATATTGCAGTATATTCAAGAAATTACAACAATTAGAGTACAGGTATAGAAATAGGCAAAGACAGATGAAATGTCTTAAAAATACTAGATGTAGAAAAAATGGTCATGCTAATGTAAGTGGGACATATAACTTAATGTAAAGATTCTGTTATTTTTGACACAAGTTAAGATTTTTATATCACATTTAACAGCTGGCTGACTTACCTTCCACCATGGCTCCTCTCTTTATTGAAGTGGTCCAGGCAGGACTACCCCAGGGTGTAGAAATTAATGTTCATGAACACATGCCAGAATACACAGAGGTATGTCTACAACACACGTTAACTTGTATTGTTTTACCAATCTCTTCCTTGTAGAATGACATATAATATTCCTAAGGGTACTGTTCTTTGTCCTTGTATATTGGGGTCTCTTGTGTTGGGTAAAATCGTCTGGCACAAGCCAAATAAAATACATGTATTAAAAGTGGCATCCTGTAGTGAAGAGGTTAAGCTGCTAGTTGACAAAATGGTTTGAGGAAACTATTGTATTAATAATCTTGTTTTTTTACAGATTATAAGACTGATGCAGTGTACAGCAGGGCTCTTCTATGTTATATCTCAGGGTGGTCAGGACCCCTACAATTGTCTGACTGTTACATAATATTGAATCATGTTAAATCGTTCATTGTATTCCAATAAGAAACATTGCGGACAAGACTGCAACCGCAAAATATACAATACAGGACGCCAAAAAAATTTTTTAAGCCACCACTTTTTCTCACTTCAACACTAATTCCATTATTTCAAATCACTTTGTAATAATTTAAAACTTACATAGTCTGAACAACTGCTTCCTGGGCTGCAGTTGTTCAGACTCAAGGTTTCTGATGGAACAATAGAACTTGGGGTGTAGTGAATCAGTGCTAGCAGATAATACACCAGTGCTGCCATCTATTGAGGGCAGGAAACTTTAGGTTTTCATTGGCTAATCAGTTGTCTTTGTTTAATATTAAACTGTAAAATACATATCTAATGGAACAAATCAATTATGGTTTTATATAAAAAAATTGTGATGTTTGTTTTCCGCAGGTGCGATACATCCCAGACCTGGAGCTGAGGGACCTTTATAAACAACTGTATGACCTTGGTGGACCCAGTAAAAAATAAGACAATACTTTTAATGGTTTCCTTGTACAAATGTTTTAATAATTTCTGAATAGAACATTGACAGTAGTAAATAAATATTGACTAGATTACCCATCATTTTCATTTTTATCCAGAATTTTGGTAAAAGACGGACTGTTCCTTTGATAGCATTTGTTGATTGCTAACACATAGGCTGCATCACTTCAGTCATATTTCTATGTGATGCATTATGGAATTTAGCATATGTGAGAAGTGAGGAGCTATTGATGACCATTCTCCCTTACACAAACATAATTTCAGTATAAAAGTTATTAATCATTATTGCCTATACCATAACAGTACAGTACTGTAGAATTAAACATAGCCTCTTATTTCTATATACCATAAGAGCTGACCATGAAGAGTAAAGAGTATTCACAGAATTTATAGTTGTTTTTTATGCAGTTTATTATGAATTATTTTAAAATGAGACAATGATCAAGATGGCTTGTAAGAGTTCAGTTACCCAGCCGAGAGTAAGGTTAGAGTACAGTACCTTTGTGTTGTACATTATTTCATGTTCAGAATGATATTATTTTTCAATAGATATACAGTATTAATGTACAGATCCGTGGTACATTTAATCAGTTGTTCTTCACAGAGTATATTGAATAATCCTTTTTCTTATCTAATTTTATCCCTAACTTTTATCTCTTGCCCTGAGGGATATATATATGGAAAACAATTTACTTTTATAAATAAGTTAATGCTGCCTGTTAAAATGGTCCCAGTTATAATATTCTCTACCTTACAAAAGTAACATTTCATTTGTTACATCTCCATAACAGCCAAGTTAATATTCAACTCTCAAATGATCCTTGATACAAGTGTCAACTTTCAGTATTATATCAAAAATAACACATGGAATTATCTATTGTATTGTGGAGATAATAATACAGTATACTGAAAAATGGTTTAGTTGAGCATAAATGAATAAACAAGCAAATTATAGTTGATCCAGACAATGATATAACCAGCCATGAGGATGATCTAGTCTTATGTGTCACCCACATGGCCTCTCAGTGTCCACATGACTCAAGTTATTTACACACTGTTATATCTATACAGTACATACACCCACTGAGTCACTAATACATACTTGATAAGTACAGTACATATCAAACTATTCTACAGCATGGAAATTACTGCCATGTACCCTGTAGTACTGAATAAAGTATAATTATATACAGTACTGCTATACAATGCAATTTTAATGATTTAGTACCACTGTACAGTACATTACAACTGCAAATATGATTACAGTACTGTAGTTTGCAACAAATTTATACATTTATAAATACAGTACAGTACAATTAAGTAAAATAAATTGCATTATGTTTGATTATACAAAGCTGAAATTAATACAGTATCTTCATTCTACTTTCATAAGTTTTAATGAATCCATCTAGATATCATGTTACAAGAAAAAATATATAAGTATGTAATCACCATTTTACTAATACCGTATCATGTTATATGAAAAAAATATCATAGGCATGCAAACACCATTTTACCAACAGAATTTCTCACACAGACCTATATAAGAATACAACTGAGCAAACATTACCATAGTCTGTAGGTGGTTAATAAGATTATTTACAGTTGACCATTGGAAAATAAACAAGGCATAGTCTGTTAGTAAGGATCCTGTATGATATTCCTTACAGAGATATATATCGGTACATATATAGAAGATATTTCAAAACAATTGGTCAATGCAGGATTAAAAAAAATATCAAATACTGTACCACTGTAGCACCAGTTCTTTGATCACCAAAAAAAGGTTAAAATCACAAAGGTTATTTCATTTAGTTTATAATATCTAATTACTGTATAACTAAAGGTAAACAATGATTAAAGTATTAATAACTGTACAAGATGCTACACACACTGAATCTTCCAACGTTCAGTAATATCTGATGGATGAAGCAAGTCAGCTGATCACCTGCCTCAGTGGTGGTTCCTCCCTCACACATAAGAGATTCAAGAAAGCTACCAGATTGTTTTTGTAGCCATAGACAATGTTTCTATTCTTTTTCTCTTTTTTTTTGGGGGGGGGGTCAATTCAGCAAACTAACATGTTGTGCTCCATAAAACTAAATAAAAAAAATAATCACATTCTAAGCTTAATTTAATTCAAACAACTGAACAACACTATGTAGTGTTAAAACATGGTATGGAATCCCTGAGTTCAATGTGTAACTATTTTTTTTAAATGTATGTTGGTAAATGTTCCTCTATTTTTGAGGAACTTTACAATGACAAAGACCAAACATAGAAAACAATTAGAAGATGATGACAACACAGGAAACAAACTACAGGTCTAATAACAAAAGCTATTAAAAAAAAGCCTGCAACAAATTGAATACACCAAAATAAGTACAGTCCATGAACACTGGAACATCAAAATCAATATATTAGATAATCAAAACACCTCATATATGTGGATGATTAATCTCATTCTCAAATGTTTTACTATACTGGTACATTTCCATTAATCATTGACCAGATAATGTGAGCCCCTCACAAATCAAGAATATGAACACTTTAGCAATTCCAATCATGAACTGAAAATCATGTCAGTAATCCAAAACTGGACAGGTGAATCATGAACTATCTTGAATACCATCAACCTTGCCCACAGGAGGTGAGAGTTAACAGTAACTGAGATTATGTGTAAAACAATACAGTAATAAGGAGACCAAGTCAAGTAAAGATGTACACTCAGTACCATCATGGTCAGCTCAGTTAGCTACATGTGACAATTAAGTCAACATCACCAGGTAGCAGTCTGTGGATTGGCTTCCAAAGAGAACGGTGTTCATAAAATAGTGTTGGGAAGATGACATTAAAAAAAATAATGCACAATTGGGATTGTTGTAGATCATATACACAGATAAAACAATATCTACTGTTTCAAAACTCCAGTTGATGGAAATTACACATTTTTATCCATATTCACTAGTATAGTGAACAGTTCACTAAAACAGACATTAACACAAGTTCTATGAGATTCTTGATTACCAAAGTTACACTGTACTGTATACAACAAATCCTTCATTTCTATAGCATAGTACAGTACGTGGTAGATGTCGAATTTGTGGAAATTAAAGCAAATTATTTACAGGAAAAAAGGCACTAAAGGCCCATAGTTTCTGACCTCAAGCCCATTAAATTAAACAATGAAAATTCTTAGCTACTCCTGGTATGCCATTAGATTACACATTACATAAAAATAGGTTTGATTATAAAATAATTATAATATAACAGTCACTAAAAACCATAATTATCATTGACCCAATCCAGGGCGGTTGCAACCCTAGCTTTTAACTCATCTACAATTTTCACCTTCTCGTTGATAGGGCAGGCACTGAACGTCCTCTGCCATACCTAAGGTAAACAGTATGCATTTTGAGGAGTTTAGAAGCCAGAGCAGCAAGTAAAAGAACAGAGCGGGATCACAAAATAATATTAGGAGCTATGGTGTGTACATCTACTCAGTACAGAACTTTGAAGTTTTACCTGGGAAACATGTACAGTCAGGGTGCAAGGCCCAATAGGTGTAGCCATTTACTGCTTGATTTTGAAAAACAGTGAGCCATTGTTTTAATGCAGAGATGCATCCTTAGTGAGGTCATGTAAATGTAAAATCATGCAAATTTTAATCCAACAGATATTAGGAAAACGAACATTAGGTTCCAGGCATCATTAAACAAACTATTCAGTAAATATTTACCTCTTATATGTTGTATTACTCCCATTACATGGCATCAATTGTATACAAAATTCATTAAACATAACAGGCCATTTAATGTATTTTATTGTCTGTTCTGTACAGTAGTGTACTGTATTGTATAATAATACATGTAAATGATATAAGACAAGTAAAATATAGTTACATGGATATTTTCATCAAACTGCACTCTAGTACAGTATACCTGAGGGAAGATGATGCCTGTTACACATCTACCACCAAGCAATTAACCCATCACAGCTGCCTAAGGCCTCTGGGCCACCACACACCTCTACTGCCGAGTCTGACATTACACTTCATCACTTTACCACATAATACAGCAGCAGCTGCATTGTACAGCACTCTACATTATTTAGCATAGATTAGATCATAATTAGCAGAGGAGAGACGGTGTCTGCCACCCACCACACAACCAGTGAGACATCACCACACAGGACCTTGGCCTTCCATTCTATTCACATCTCTCAATTTTTCCCAAAAAAAAGTTTTTATGTATTTTATAATTTGCATTTTTTCTCACTACAGTTGGCATGTCCAGTAAACTAATTAATTAATGGTGGTGCCGGGAGATAAATGATGAACACAGTCACACAAACAGAAGAAAGATAATGACATCTACAGTGGAGGTGTTATATATGCCAAGAGAAACTTGGAAACTGGCTCTCATTAAATCTATTACTTTCTCTTTTTTTTTTTTTACTTCAGGGGCAAAAATGTCCATAAATTATATATTCTAATATACCCACCACCCAGCAAGATAATTTGTGGTGAAGAGAACTTTCTGGGAAAATTAAATTGCATGTATTCTATTCTATTTATTCTTTTACCCACAACTCCCAGCATCATCCATAGTACAACAACAACTGAGGACTACAGGTATATGAAAAATTATGGCTAATATTTCATGAAGGTACAGTATAGTATATATAAAAAAAATAAAATTAGAGAATGCCAAAAATTAAGGGTTTACAGTATGTCCTCGTTTAACGTTGCCCCCGACAACACCCTTTCGTTATAACATCGCTACTCTTTAGATACCCATGATTCGGTCAACGTCCCGTCAATTCGGTATAACGTCGTCACGGACTACTTTGTACGACCCATCACCCTCTCTCACCCAGTCAGAGCGGGAGGAGGAGCCACCCTCTGGGTCTCAGTGACTCACCACCCTCCTCCTCTCCACCACCCACCACACTCTCGCTCCACCTCCGCCCATCAGTGAGTACAATACAAAATGATTTACCGGTAGTTTATTTATCTTTCTGGATGTATAATATAGTATACTATTTTCTATAAAAATTCCATTGAATTTAAGTACAGCTCCTCCCCGACTTATGACGGGGTTAGGGACCCAAATCCAGGTTGTAAGTCGAATTGGTCGCAAGTCGAAAATGCGAAAATAATACATAGAAAATCTAAAATGGGTGTCTCTTTTTCTTCTCAGCACCACAAAACTCTAACTTTTAAGCTTGCCAGCCATTTTAAAGTGAATTACAAACAAAAATTTTGTCAGTACACAGCGCGATCACTAACGTCGGGACTCGAAAATACATAATTTGAAAAATATTTGGTACGACTGAGGCAGTCGCATGTCCGGGTTGTCGTAAGTCGAGGAGTGGCTGTATATGTAATGTATTTTATGGGTCAAAGGGAGGCTGGGGAACGTAACTCCCATATTGTATCTATTTCTTATGGGGAAAATTGATCCACTTAACGTTGTTTCTGTTAACGTCGCGATTTTCAGGAACGAAACCACGAAGTTAAGCGAGGACTTACTGTACTACATAAGAACACTAAACAAAAAGTAATGAACTTCATGAAATATTCCTACAAAGCAGAGCTACTACACATGAATGTCAACACAAACAGCAATCCCAACAATAAGCTAAAAGAACAACAATCCCATGCATGCACAACCTGAATCCTGTCTACAAGTTACAGACCATAATATTCTCACATTCTGATGATGCACGGTGGCCTAGGTACGTCATACAGGATAGTTACTGTAGCATTCTAGTGAAAAAATGGATGCATCATTCACTGTAAAAAAATAAAATAAAAATTCCATAAATCATTTTTACATCATACGGCTTCAAATACATGCCAGAACTTTCCCAGAAAATTCAAGTGTGAATACTGTAAGTTTGTTAAAAATAGTTATTGGTGCTCAACAAACTACTGTACTGTAACTGTACTGTAATTGTGTGTACTGTACTGTAATAATTTTTATACAGTTATAATACTCCAATGGCTGCACTGGTGGTGCAGTCATTTTTTTTATTCAGTATCATTGGGGAATACAGTAATTTACAATTATAAAAACAGCATGTAAATAATAATACAGTCAGATCCCACCCAACAATCATCTAGTACAGCATTTTTAATTATTTATTTATCGTATTACAGAGCTTCAATTACAAACAAATCCATGCACTGTATATAAAAAGAATCTAATAAAAAACATTAATATTAAAATTGCTCGTACAAAAATGCTGGGCAGGTGACCGCTAGTGCTGCCCCTTGGTTTACCTCAGAGGGTGAAGGCCAGCCTCATCACCCAAAACAATAAAGGATTTCCTGACAACAGTACAGCATTGGATACAACTTTACCGGTCATGCATAATGGTATTCTCAGAGCATATTAAGCATGTCATATTCTACTAAATAGTTTATACTACATGTACAATATATTATTTGTAGTAATATTTAGTGTGTTATACAGTACACAATGTTAATTTGTAAAAATCTTACTGTGAACATATTTCTAATAGATGCTGTTATGAGGTTTACAAAAGTCAGCCAATGGATGAAAATGTCGATGCAAAACCTCATCACACTAAATAAAACTGTAAATTAAATCATAACCTCACGAGCCATAACATTATGAAGAGGTTACCAGAAAAAACACGAGCCTGATTGACAATGAGAACACAACAGTGAGAGACAACTGTTCTTAACTAAATCACTTTTTTGTTGATCTTTACCATTACAAGATCTGATGGTTAAGGTTTTTCATAATACAGTACTTGTATTACTGTACCTGTTTATACTGTACTTATGACTTTTCTTAATTCATAATGATATAAACCTCATATGTTCACAATTACAGTCTAATGGTACTGTACTAATATATACAGTATATTATTTTGCTACAACCTGGATTGGAAGCTTCTTGTTAAAATCATTGATCTTGACAACAGTGTGTAAAGTCTTCTCGAACCTAAAGTATAGACCTAAATTAAATAGCAAATTCATGGGACTACAGTACTACCACCACTGGTAATATCTTTGTAGCAAATCTCATATTTCTAGGATAAACATTTTCCAATTTGTTGGAAGTTTCATCTGATGCTTTGTTTTCCCACTGCAAAGACTCACACATCACTACACTTCAGAGATACAGCAAAAGTATCATGTATCCAATCTGTTTATGCTCTCCTTGAACACAACACCCAAGCAAAAACCCAGACACCGCATATATGTGATATAAAAAAGCATATGTTTGAAGACAGTTCTCCATGTAAACCCGAATAAGAAAATGACAAATACACATACAGCATTAGTAAAAGAAGATCAAGCAAGTACCTTTAATGGCACAATAATATGGACTATTACCCCCCAGGTGTGGGTTAACCAATACACAGGTGGAGGAGGACTGGTAGGGTAATATTTGTTATCTTGTGTACACACCTTGTCAATGGTGTCATCATGGTGGGTCCCTAAACTAAAGCTACACTTCAAACATTGGAGTTGCTGTCTTATGGGACATAAACAGTGTTATGGATGTATTTTCAGAGTTTTGATAAGTTTATAATTAATACAAATTTAAGACTGGATAATGTTGACATAAGCCATATACAGTATGTATATGCAATGATACCACATGGTTTGTTACAACAAACAGTATAGTCTGTCTATCCTATTTGGTAAAAATAATTGTTATTCATTCAGATTGTATGGATATATACATACTTTACACCATAACTACAATATCGTACTACTGTACCTTTACATCTTGGTCCACTTAGCCTGTGGTGTATCTTGAAATCCCTCTTCTTCAGATAATTTTCTCTTTTTATATTTCTTGCCATGTGACTTACCACTAGAGGCTGCCACCTCACACACATTCTGGGATGTGGATGGTGAGCTGTCCTCACCTTGTGTTGTGGACGAAGAAGGATCGTGCACCGATGATGGAGATTGTGGAAAAGATATTTGTCTACCTGGGCTCGTTCCTAAACTACTTGATTGGCTCATAACACAAGTAGAATATGAGGTGGTGGATGATGCTGCATGACCTGGAGACATGCCGAGTGCTATCCCTCCTGATGAGTAACCTTGCATTGGTGGTGTAAGGTATGCTGGCGATGATAGCTGACCAGGAGTTAAATTGACCGGGAGCAAGTTTGGCTGCATCTGTGAGAATAAATAAAATAAAAATAAGACTGTAGAACTGGCACATGTAATATGAGAACTAATAACAGGATAAGTGAAGAGAATGACATTTCTCCAATTGATGGTTTCTTTTACTGGTTACAATTACACTTCATCACCACCCAGTTGTCTGCCATAATTTCCTTTGTGTATTGCTTAACACTCATCACTTTCGTCTACTCTCTATCCTGAGCACAGTGATGTAGAAACCCCTTTGTATATTCTTATTTCTCCAGTATAAGTACAGTACACACAGATGGTTAGGGTGGGTTAAATTAGGTTCATTTTAGTGACAGCCACACTGCATTGCACAATTTTCCTAGTAAAATAATCTCAAGTCTTCTCCATTACGTTGCCTCTAAGTTCACAATAGTTATGTTTTTTCCCTTATAAACTGTGTACTCCCTGTACTGAACCTCTCAACACACATATCTATTTGTGTCTCTCCTTTTCCTTTCATTCCAGGTACTCTCCATATTTCTCCACAATCACCTCCAATTCCTCATCACCAACTCCTGACTTTAACCCTTTCGCTGCAATTCCTGCACTTGCCATTTTATTCTGGCCACCGTCAGACTATTTTATTCAGCTTAGAGTAACCTCCCGCAGCCAGAGGGTTAAATCTCCCATCAATACTTCCTTTCTCTCACAACTATAAGTCTTCCCAGAGTTCCTTTTCTTCTCATTCCCAGGTGCACATGTACTCCTTACAACCAACAATACCAATAATCCCTTTACTCTTAATGCTGGAACAGCCTTGAAGTCATTTGATGCCGTGCTCTCCTGTCATCCACATATTCTGCTACGTTTTCTTCCATATTCCTTGCCTTTACTTCTCATGCATTTTTCATCTAATCTTTCTATCTCCATAGTCTTCTTATCTCTCATGCTATACACCTCTTTATTACCAACTTGTTTTATCCACCTTTCATTTCCCATTCTCTATATATGACCACAACACCTTAGCAGCTCTTTTCTTTAATTTATGTTTTCCCAGTCACTATGTTAACTGTTACAAGGAAAGTATAGCCAATGACAGGAAGAACAAGACTAGGTGTGTCAAAAACCAATTACCATATTAGCTGCTACAAAGACAGTGGAGCCAATGGTAGGAGCTGCAATATTAGGCGAGCCATAAAACTGTTGGTTCTTCTCCTCTCGTGGCCAATTTCCATCAGTTTTGTTGTTATTGTTGTTGCTGTTGCTACTGCTGCTGCTGCTGCTGCTACTTGAACCACCATTAGAATCCTCTTTCATGCGTGCCATATCAGCCAGAACTTCACTAAAACGCTGCTCTTGTTCCAGGAGTTTGCGATTCACCTAAAAAAAAAGAAAAAAAAAGATGCTGTTTGATTGTGTGAAAGAAATCTCATCTTTACTCTTACTTCCACGAACATGATAATATACTATGAATCCTTACAGCTATGAACCAAATACCTGTGATCAATCCTGTGGTTGTGTTTATGAGGCACACATCCCCCACCCCAGCAAGAATTAATTAAACTTCTTCATAATTAAATTAGAAAATCCAAAATGTATAAGATAGAAACCTAACCTAACCTTGGTACTCTATTATGGATATTTCTCTGGGTATCATCCTACTACCAAACTTGAATGGAAGGGATGAATGGTATGAACAGGTGCAAACAGGTCAAAACAGATGAACAGGTCAAACAAACCTCTGTGAGTTTTCCTTCTTGGCTAGTGAGTTTGACCGTCTGCTCTGACAAGATACGGTTCTGCTCCAGGGCCACCCGCTCCTGCTCGCTTACCTTCCTCCGCATCTCGTTAAACTGCAAGACACGCACATTGATATGATACCATTTACCAACTGCAATTCTCCATATTGGTATTAACGATCTCCAAATGACTACCACAGTGAGACCTCCATATAACGGACTTCTTTCATCATATAAACTCTTAAATGGGGAGGTCACACCTAATGGAACCTCGATATAAGACTTTCATCTCTATATAGTTCATTAAATGGAAGTTTCACATCTAATGGACCCTTAATATAATGGGCTTTCCCTTCCCTATAGTTCATTAAAAGGAAGTTTCACTGTACTGTATTGTGTTCACTGACCATAATTATCCTTCAACAACAAAAAAAAATGTACAAGTTAACTGTCTTTCCTTTCCCTCTATCACAAAGGCTGGCACGAGAAATCCTGCTCCACTTTTTCACCATTAATCTTGAAAAAACAAAAATGTTTTTTTTCATAAAATTGTCAAGTATATTCTAATGTGTACTTGTATATATTAAAATAACTAGATATATGCTGATTAATCATTCCTTGGGTATTATAGTGGTTATAAGGTGTTAGGTTTTAAATGCAGGAAAGTGGTTTTCTTACCGTAGAACTCAGATACCTTCACGCTGATTACTCACCCAGGAGATTATGGTGTATCACTACGTAGAATTTCACTCTGCTTCCAGCATTCAATGCATTGTGTACTTGATAAATGATGATTTAATGAATTCCATGAACTTCCAACATCCATCTAAGTTATTGGTTATACTTTGTCATAACCAGTCAGTCATTACCTTTAATAATAATAATAATAGAGGGGTCACAGATACGGGCAGATAATTGCACTTACGTTTATTTGGCACAATTCCATACACTGGACTTATAATTTGCATGGATAGGTCAGTCACTCACATTTGCGCCACAGTACCATAAGTTATAAGGGAGAGTTTGTCAACCTGGAGACTTAATCGTTAGGTCTGTTAGGCCGGCCTGGAGTGCTCTTGTAGCAAACAGGCCCTCACCAGTGATCACTTCCTTTACAGGGTGCGTTAACTTTTCGCTGGACTTGACAACAATCTCGGGAATTTGCACACACGGGCTCGTAGCACTGGTAGGACTGTATGGCCCCTGTTCTAAATCCGCGGAGCAGGAGGTCTCCTCTCACCCAAGGTCTAAAGCCCACTGACTAAAATGTGGTTTTGAGGCGTGAAATGACCCCTATGGGCTGGCCGGGTACCTTATCTCTACCTAAACAACATTTGGGATGGGTTGTGCGGGAGGCCCAACGCAACCCATTACATAAGGGAATATTTTATAATAACCAAACACTAAAAAAGAGAGATAACATAAAATAAACAATACCTTAGACTTCATATCAGAAACTTCCTTCTTGAGAGTGCTGATAGTGTTCTTGTAGGAGGCAAAAAGATGAGGGGAGTCTTCTGTTGATGATGATGGTGTCGCGAGGGATTTGTTGAGGGATGAACCAGCTGTGCTTGACGTAGGTGATGCTGTCATATACATCATCAGTTAATTAGTTTTCATGTGAACAAGAAGACCTGCCGAAGATCCCCTCACAGAAAAATTGGTAGACTTTCATTGTGGAGATATGGACAAAATACTGATACACGCAACAAATAATAAAATGGGGGAATTCCCTTTATGATATTTGGGATAATTTTTATAAACTTAAGATGTCACAAGAATATGAAGACCATTAATGATGAGAAGGTTTGAATATGGAAGATCAATGCTGAAATCTCACTTTGTGATAGTTGTCACACTTTAAAGCTATTTATCATACGGTGTTATGTTCCTCTGGATATGTCAATCACCCTTCCCTTCCACTCAGCACTATCAGTCCTGAATGAGGGGAAGCAATCAACAAACTAGGACTAGTGTCTACAATCTCGAACTCGAGTAAATCCGACTTGATCCGCCTGTTTCCTCGCCCGAACTAGTTCAAGTCACAAAAATCCAAGAAAAATGGAGTCTCTGAGCTACCTGACTCTGGGCTCCATCAGGTAGAGGGATCTCAGTACAGTATTCATCTTCCATACCTGGCTATCTCCCCTAACCCAGGTGGCTCTCATAATACTAAGTCAGCCAAACATGATGAAAGATATAGTGCTACAAAGTTCCAGGATTGCACAGTCAAACACCCACTATGAGCATTGACCTGTTGTATTAACCAGGTCTGGAAGGTTTATACTGTTCTTGCTTTATCCTGAACCTTTCTGGAAATCCTAAGTCACCAGAATCCAGAGACTCAATGTCTTGTTAGAGATTAGGTAAAAATGTTGTCAAATAAAAAGGCTCTGTAAATAAATACAACACAAGCTTACCAAAGAACCTACAGTGTAGTGAAGCCATTTGCACCAGCTATACACCAAACTTAAAATTAACCTACACTTCATAAAATACAAGGGAAATTAAATAACCCAAAGCTATTTATCTATCACCCAAGTATGTACCGACAGAAGAAAAGACAAATAGATGCTGTGAAAAGCTATAAGTTCATAGGCTCTTCAGGCCAGATAAACTAAAAATTAATGATACTTACATGAGAGAGGGGAGAATGAGGAGTATGGCGTGGACAGTGAGAAGCGCGGGGAGGATGGCGTCAATGGTGTGAGCTTAAGGGGGCCAATAATCTTCTCCTCGAAGTGTTCCATCGCCATACTGGATATGTCCCGGAGTTCTGTCAGTATTTCAGTCGTCCGAGGTAACGTCTTGTTGGACTGGATGAAACGCAACACTCGATATATTTCATCTATGACCTGTAACAAGGTAATTCTTGGTGATGGTTTGTCTGATTTCCAACCCATACTAATCAAGTACAGTATATTTAAAAACAGAATTACTTATGACCTTATAATGTACTGTACTGTACCTTGATATCCTTGAACCCACCTTTCCTGGGATGAAGCAACACATGTGACAGTCAATATATTTATTGAAGGTCATATTGAGCAGTGACAACCTTGTCTCGATGGCAGTCAGAATGTCACAGTGGCGGGAGAGGGGATGGTTCCGACGCTCAGACTCTCGGCGAGGTAATTGGCTCTTTACCTGTAAAAAATTTAAGACATGAGATGGGTGCTATAGCCTTCACTGGACTAAAGGACAAGTGAACTGATATTCAGATAAATAATGCTAAACAATAACACATTCTTATCTGCAAGAATAAAAAAAGGGTTAAATGTACTGTATTATGGTAACATTCTACAAAATAAGTCTTCATAGGTCTACCATGTTAGGTCACTGCTATGTATAACAAGACTGAGAATATAATGACCCCAATGATGATCATTTGATTCCTTGACCGTATACTGTAGTAGGATGAGGAGAACCAGATTTAAACTTGTGTGAAGAGAAGTTTGTGCCTGGTGAAGACTCTTCTCAGAGAGACTAAACTAATAAACTGATATAGCTACATGGAGAGGGAATGAAGCAGATGGCACCGACACCTTGTGAAGTGGTAGATGTGAGAACGAGGGAATAAATGATACATTAAGATGGGAAATGTTGTCAAATCTCAGTTTGTATGTAAAGACACTGTGTACTGTACAAAAAGGGTCACCATGTGGTATCCCAGCAGAGGTAGAAAAAGAGAGTGCCAAAGAACCTAATGGGGAGATGGAGATCATGAGCAACGATGGAATAAAATGGTTGCATTCGAGCACAGAATCAAGATGAACGGAAAAACTGCGATGAAATGTGAGTAACAATAGGAGTTAAGTGAGAAGAAAATACTGTATGGAAAGCAACACAAGGCAAGACCATCCACCAGAGAGTAGAGGACATGTGTGGTAATACTGTACAGTATGACGAGATGGAAAAGCTAACTTTGTGGTGGAATGAAGAGTTAACACCTTCATCTCCTGGGTCGACTTCCAGCCATCATTGCTGTATCCTGGATATGTCACTTTGCTTTAACTGTGTATCGGAGAGTCTTGTCCAATGCAGGGGATACGTTCTTGAATAATACCGTGTTGAGTGAATCTGTGGTGGGCAAACTTAATACCTCATGGGAAAAACAGGGTAAGGGGACGTTGAAAATAAAGCCCTAACCAAACCCCATGTGTAGAAAGACCCTTCTAACTCAGACTTGTGTAAGTTGAACAAGATAATCCTAACCAGGTTGGAAGTCTAGATAAAGCAGACCCTATATAGCTCATTATTTCTTGTGGGAGAAAAATAAAAATAATTTAAATCACAAAATTTGTCTCTTCTACTTAATCAGTCAGTCAGATTCTACCAATAAGAAAATACAGTACCAGAAAATTGTGCTTTATAAAATTGTTGGCTTGGTCCACCGAGTGATCCACTGTACAGTACAGTATACATTTGTTGCATATTTACCCCAAATACAGCTCACGTCTAGGGATGCCTCACACTCACTCCTGCTCTTATATTCCATACACAACATCTTAAACTGACTCTATTTTGATGATATTTTTGTAATATTTTCTATGTAGTACTCCCTATTTTATCACCCTGACCAGTACAGGTGGTAGTGATGAGTGTAGGGCTAATTGAGTACATACACATATAAAACATTGCTGATACAGTGGTAGTTATGGATTAACACTCATCTCTCAGGGAATATATTAAGTCATCAAGTCTAATTTTTCAAAGCAGTCCCAAAGGTTTTTACACTACACTACACACTGTCTTCATATATCTTTTACTCATCTACACCTAAAGGAGTTAATATTAACAGAAACAAGCTCAAGTGTAAGCATATGTAAAGTTCCCAGAATAACAAAGCACATTTTAATAGCAATGAAGATAAACAGTCAGTACAACACCACACCACCTGTAATACCGGTATTTGCTTACCTCCTTAAGGCACTTGGCTTGGTATCTCTCCACCCTCCTGAACCCCTTGTTAAGGAGCATCTGATTCATTTGATTAAATCTTTTACAAACCTGCAAAAAGGGGGGAGAGTTTGAGTCCCTCTATCCACTAATAAGAACATTAATATATCAGCAACAGCAATGAAGAAATCAGATACAGAATATTCACAACTGTGACTAGGTATCAGCTGCACTGAATTATGAAGCCATAAATAGTAGCTATTATCAGTGACTAAGTACAGAGGCCAATTACATAAAGCTTTGATGAATGATGACAGTCTATGATGACAGTCTAAAAATGTTTTATTTCAGTTCTGATACTTGTTTACCTTTCATTTTACCTTTGGTTTCACATTTTTCTTTCAGTAAAGAAATTTCTCAAAGGTATTACAGGTTGTACCCCTCTAGCCCGGCAACCTCGGGACCTGACCGGTGCCGGACCATGGAAATTGCCGGATCATGGAAATTCACCCTTTTCCTGGATAGATAGTGACTTGTGCTTATGCTTGGAAGCACTAGCACCACTTTCTCTGCTTCATGGTCTCTTTGAAGACATATTGAAGGGTTAAATGTCGTATAGTAGCTTCTCAAATTTCGCGAGTTTTTAATTCTTAACGTATTTTATTGGAACACATAAAAAAATAAATAAATAAAAATTTTGACGGCGGAAACTTGAATTTCGACGGGTTTGAACGGCCCGCCAACATGCAGACGACGTGCATAATCGTGTAAACAGCGTCATTTCTCTTATGTACAAAAGATTCATTATTGTTTATTACTGAATGTCTTTTTTAATGAATTAATGTTTATGTGTGCAAAATGAGCAATACAATTCATTAATAATACGTAGAATATTAAAACACACGAGGAAATGACACAGCACTGTTTATGTTGATTACAAAACCAGTGACTGATTGGTTCTACATATAAAACTGAAGAAAATAAGACCTTGGCTGTAGCTGTAGTAAAATTAATATGGTTGTTTTAAGTAATGTTATTTAATGTTAATAAATGGAACAATAAAAGTAGCTAACGATAATGGTAAAGAAAAAAGAGAGATCGCGTATGCAAGTGCGCATGCGCACACGTGGAAACATATCGTCATTACTTTAAATAAGAATATGAAAGCAACACTTATTTACTGTTCATATATATTTTAATTAATGTTTCTGAATTTGTTTTTATTGAATTATTGTTTGTGTGTGCAAAATTAACAATACAATTTATTAATAATACGTGGAATATTAGAGGAGACGAGACGGCTGCCGGCATTGTTTATGTTAAAGCTTACAAAACCAGTGACTGATTGGTTCTACATATAAAACTGAAGAAAATAAGACCCTGATTTTAGCTGTAGTAAAATTAATGTAAAAAAATTAATATGGTTGTTTGAAGTACCTGTAATGTTATTTAATATTAATAAATGGAACAATATAAGTAGCTAACCTTTAAGGTTAAAAAACAGTGAGGCTGCGCGTATGTAAGTGCGCACATGTGAAAACATATCGTCATTACTCTACATAAGAATATGAAAGCAACACTTATTTACTGCTCATATATATTGAAGGGTTAAATGTTGTACTCTGTATAGACAAGCAGAGAGAGAGAGAGCAGCCGAACTGCCGGATGTAAACAAACCTTAATTTCCCCGGCTTTGTTTTTTTTTTTTAGGGGATTAGCCCACCCGGGCATAGGTCACTGACCCACATTGGGGCCTGAGGGCAAAAATTTAATACTCCTGTAATAATAATAATAATTCAGATAAGTAAAAAAAAAAAAAGAGCTGCCTATCTACCTATTGGACAAACTAAAGTCATTCCGGACCACGGGAGTTTCCGGACCACAGAATGCCGGACTAGAGAGGTACAACCTGTATTGCGTTACACACCGTTCATTCCTACCACTAATCTATTATCATATTCGAATAAGACGTCTAATTATAAGATAATTTTCATCTATTACATTACCGGCGGAAATGTATAATAACTGAGATAGCTTTTCCCCCAAAAAGTCTATTTTCTTCCATTCACCTCCCGCCATTATCGTCTGCCTCTCTCCCAACCCTGCATGTCTCTTGCATCTCCTTCATAAATCATTACGCGCATGCGTACCCGCAAACGTCACGCGGCTAATCAAAAACGTTTTTGCTTTTAGAACCAATTAAAATGATTTTGGGTTTAATTTAGAGTATATTTGGCACAATCAAAATCGAGTTTTATTTTGGGTCTCTCATATTTTGAAATTCAAGTTCAGTTCCGACCATGGAAGTCTGCGATGGATGTCACTTAAAGTATATGGAGCTGATTGCGAGTTTTTGGAAAAAAACGTAGAAACTATAGTATTTTTTCGATCGCATGGTGTTCTTCCAACCTCAGTAAAGTGTACTAAGAGCAAGACGGAATGTAAATATTGCAAAGACCAACATATGTGGTGTTGTGTAAGAATCCCAGAATCCAACGACGAACAAGAACCAGGCCAATAAGGTAAGAAATAGGTGATTGCATCATATGGTGAGAGTCAGTTAAGTTAGGTTAAGTTAGGTTAGGTTTTTCTAGTGTTTTTTTTGTGTATTTTTTAGTCGCTTAGCCACTTTTTTTTTGGAAAACGTCAAACGAAAAAAAAAATCGCAAAAAAACGGCAAATTTCCGCCAAAAATGAAGGTCATATTTGGTCTAAATACACACAAATACACTAGAAAAATATATTTTTTACTTGCTAAAAGTGAACGGTGCGACAATGCAAATTTACCTTCTCAAAAGTAAATCTTGAAGTTTATCATCATTTCTGACACTTTTATATATATTTTGTATTTATGTTTCATGCAAAAAATATTCTCTAAAAAGGGAAAACCCAAAGGTGCCTAAAGTTCCTCCTCCTCAGGAGTCTCGCATCTTAAGTATTAGCTAACTCAGCCATGATCAATCAGAACAAATGCTGGACAAATAGTGGAAGTGGGTAAAGGTCCGTGATAGGTTAAATAACCACTGCCAAAAACATCAGAAAACAAAGGTAAATCTGGGTGGTTCGTTTGTCACATATGGTTTATTGGAGCTGCCCAGTTAGGTTTTCCTGAGTACATACTCCTTCTGGAAGTAATACATGATTTCCAGCCATGGAAATCACTGGTAAGTGTAGATTGTATCTAGATTATTCTAACTATACATTTCTTCTAATTCAGCTGAACTGTATTAAGAAAATTAAAGTGAAACATTAACAAAAACCTACGTTGCTGGAATATTTACCTCTAAACTATCTTAACTTTTACAATAAACAGCAATAAACTAAGGTCACCCTGTTGCGTAAATCAGGTTTTACAATAACTAAAATCTGCAGTAAAGAACTTACTATTCGCAGGTGGGAAAGTTCTTCATAGGCGAGGTAACTGAGGGTCTTCTCCACCACTATTTCTGGCAGATCCAAGAAATTGAGATAGCTGCCCTTGCCTACCATCCTGGATTTCATTTATGTGCTTCTGATTCAAAAAAAAATCATGGCGAGGACGTGTGTCTGTCGAAACCAATACCAAAACAATAGGACAAGAGACGACCGTTTGGCGTCACTGAAACACAAGTGACACCCGAGACAGAATATCTTATTATTTACACACACTATAATATATATATTATACAGTATAGTGTGTGTATATATACTGTGTGTGTGTTTTACACAAATAGAGATAACTTTTATACATTCTTTTTTAATCTGACGTGCCATAGACTTTTTTTTTTTTACTATTATCTTCTTCGCCACTGATCGGCTCGTTAGCCGCTTGGACGGTCGGTCACGTCTTTGTAATGCACTGGTTCCTGAATGTATCTGGACAAGTCTGGTCTTGAAAGAGCTTTCTCGGGCCCCCTCGCTGGGAAAATTATTAAAAAAATAAAATAAATAAATACACTCAGTGCCGTCACAAGACTCTCCAGGCAGAATGTTCCAAGAGTTCACAATTCTCACAGTTTTCTGGACTTTCGGCTTCTTCAGCCTTGAGGCGGTCCGACTAATTACCCAAATGTACCCAAATGTAGCAAAATGTAGCAGCAATGAAGTCAAATAATGGTCCTACATGAATTAATCGGACTGCTAATCACTTCTCGACTAGTATTTGGTGTCACAAAGTCACAAAAAAATTGGAAAACTTACTTTAATCTGAGTTAATAGATCGCGTGCATGTACCGAGGGAGCGAGTAATTAACCAAATGTAGCCACAATGAAGTCAAATGATGGTCCTACAAGCGTAAATCGGGCTGTGAATCACTTCTCGATTATTATTTGGTGTCATAAAGTCACAAAAAATTGGTAAACTTAATTTAATCTGAGTTGTGTTGTGTTGGGTTAGGTCAGGTTAGGTTAGGTTAGGTACATGCACTCGATCTATTAACTCAGATCAAATTAAGTTTACCAATTTTTTGTGACTTCGTGACACCAAACACCAGTCGAGAAGTGATTGGCAGTCCGATTTATTCATGTAGGACCATCATTTGACTTCATTGCGGCTACATTTAGGTACATTTGGGTAATTAGTCGGACCCGCCTTGAGGTGTGACCCCTTGTGGGACGGGCGTCCGCCAGCTCCAGGTATGTACAGTACACTCGACTGAGTAGTGATCTCTGGGATGTTTATACACTTTAATTAGGTCACCCCTTGCCCGTCTGTAGTATAAGCTAGGCAGTTACAGGCGTTCTAATCTCTCTGAGTAGCTGAGGTGCCGTAGTGCAGGAGACAGTCTGGTGGCCCTCCTTTGGATATTTTCAATCAACTGACAGTCTCTAGTGTATCTCGGGGACCAGACAGTACTCCAGACGGGGAAGCACGTTACTCTTTGAAGAGTGTTACGGGGGACCTAAGTCTTGCGAGGGACGGACCGTCAAGATATCTGAATGACCTTCTTATAAGACCTACTAGTTTAGTTGCTTGATTCACCTTCTTCCCACAATGACCCGAGAACTTCAGTTCATTGTTAACAAACAAACTCAGGTCCTTTTCTCTATTAATGCAGTTTTTTCGTCCCGCTGGGACATGTGATACGCCTCCTTACTGTTGGTACGTAGATGCATTCCCTTACACTTCGTAACATTAGCTGCCATTTCGTCGACCATTCATGAAGCTCAAAGAGATGTTTCTGTAGCTCTTCTGTCCTGCGTGGCAGTGAGAAGTGATACCACCCTCAGTGTCAAGACCTGACTAAATTACTCAGAATAGACAAACTGTACTACAAGCTTTGTCAATAATTTTTTTAGACTTAAACTAACTGTAGCTCTTCGCAATTTGTGAGGTTCTCAATTTCCCTGAATAAGATCATGCATATAATTATAATGCATATAAATAAAGTTTCATTCCTAACATAATCTAACTTGACGACCTTGCAGGGGTATGAGTTATTGTCCCTATTTAACACACACACACACACACACACACACACACACAATGCGACTGTCAGCAAGAGATATACTCGTACACACAGCCTATCAATGTTTTTTTCTTTTCGTTGCTTATCAGGCTTGAGAACAAACACCCGCTACTGCCTCACAGTGTGTTCATCATATGACCGTATCTATTAAATACTTTTTACTGTTATTACACACTGCGTACAAGCAAGAAATACAACCATAAAAGCCATTTGATATTTAAAAAACGGCTTTAACCATAAGTAAAATAATGTAGCCTACATACTGAAGTTTGTTCTAGAAATTAAGTATATCAGTTATATCTACCAAAACATCCTAACCAAACTGCATAATTTCATTGCTACTTAACTTCATGACTAAGCTATGAAATTTTATAGTCTTGAATTTATGCAGTTTGATGCATAATTTTATGGATCCATAATTTCACTGAACTCCGGCAATGATACACCTCACTTTGATTAGAATGTCAACGGTTGCTTAGTTCATACTATCGAAGACCAAAGGCCGCTTTAATAGCAGTTTATAAGTAACTCAAGAAGCTTTACTCAGTCAAATGCACATATCTGTAGTAAGGGGAAAGTCGGCCCGAGATCACAGCCTCACGTTAAAGAAACTACCGGTACAGAAAATTGTAAATTCTAATTTCTCGACCCAATAAGCTGACCGGAAGCGAAGAGGATAAAGTAAATAGCATACAAACTACTAGCAGACTCGACCTCAACTCCAATGTCTGTGTCACTTGTGAATATGGGCTTATAAGACCTACTCTGAACAGTCCAGGGTAGGTCTTATGAGCTGGACTACACTACAGCAGGAGGTGCCAGAAGTGATAGTGGTGGTAGTGACTTTGGGTTATGGTGGCGGCAGGGGGTGGTAGTGGCTTGTGATTTCAGTGGTGGTAGAGAGTGGTAAAAGTGGTGGTAGGGGTGGAAATAATCGTGATGGCAAGAGGTGGCAGTAATGGTAGCGGTGGTAGGGACTAGGGAGGAGTAAAGAGATGGTGGTGGCAGAGAATGGTAATGATGATGATGATGATGGTTGCAGGAGTGGTGTCAGTAATGGTAGCAGAGAGGTGGTAATGATGATGATGGTTGCAGGAGTGGTGTCAGTAATGGTAGCAGAGAGGTGGTAATGATGATGATGGTTGCAGGAGTGGTGTCAGAAATGGTAGCAGAGAGGTGGTAATGATGATTATGGTTGCAGGAGTGGTGTCAGTAATGGTGGCAGAGAGGTGGTAATGATGATGATGGTTGCAGGAGTGGTGTCAGTATTGGTGGCAGAGGGGTGGTAATGATGATGGTTGCAGGAGTGGTGTCAGTAATGGTGGCAGAGGGGTGGTAATGATGATGGTTGCAGGAGTGGTGTCAGTATTGGTGGCAGAGGGTGGATATCGTGTTATCGGGTAAGTGATAAGCTTCCTGCATTATAATTTAAGATACTATAGCCAGATGCGGCCTCCCTACGTTATCAGAAATGAAAGCAGAAATGAGGTACTGATAAGCTTGCCTGCCGCCACCAGCCTACAGCAACACACCTCAGTCACTTCAACACCTGCTCGTTACGACTACACGGTTTCTACACCTACAGTGACTACAACACTCACCTCTACAGCCAAGCGTAAGTACACCTTGGTACCCGAAGCCAGTGAGGGTATTGTAATCTGTGGGCGTTGTAAAAGACATAATAATAATGATAATAATAATAAACGGTTTATTAATAGAGTTGCAGCCGGTGGCTGAAAATATACAGACTTACACTTGATTTAGACATAATGATATAATATGCGTTGAATACATTTACAGGGCTGTACAGTACATAAATCAGGAGTTGTTTATTATTTTAACAATATTTTAATATGTGCTCGTTATGTGTATACTGTAAGGTCAGGCTGTGAGGTCTTGTTACGAAAAAACAAGCGACAATATTTATTTTTTTAGTGACGTGATGGTTGGTTTCAGGTTAGGGGTTTGTTAAAACAATATCAGGTAAGGTTAGGTAAGGTTACTGTTACTTTAGGTTAGGTTAGGTTACTGTTACTTTAGGTTAGGTTTGGTTAGGTTAAAGAAACTAAACTTGCATTCCCTAGAAAGTTGAAGAGTGCGGGGAGATATGATAGAAGTATTTAGGTGGGTGAAAAGAATCAATAAGGGCGATATAGATAAAGTTCTAATAATATCAAAGTAGGATAGGACTCGTAGCAACGGATTTAAGTTGGATAAGTTTAGGTTTAGGAGGGAGATAGGGAGGAACTGGTTCACAAAGTGCTGGAACGCTGTAGAGTTTTAAAGGGAGGCTAGATAGATTCATGGATGATAGAGAGTGGTAGTAACTCTCGACAGGTGCTGCCATGCACAGACCAACCGGCCTATTGCAGACTCCTTATTTTCTTATGTTCTTATGTTATTATGTTAATTTAGGTTAATAGTAGGGGTAAGGTAAGCGTGTAATTTTTTAGGTTAGACAAGCGGGTGTAGTATGTGAGGTCTGGGTAGGCAAGCAGGTAGTATGTGAGGTCTGAGTGGACAATCAGGTGCTGTGACGGCACTGGGTGTGAGCCACCACACACAGGGTAACATACATTCTGGAGTTAGTCCAGTACATACCCAGTACTTGTCAACAGTGTGTAACAGGGACGTGACTTTCCATTCAAGCGGCTAACAGACCGGTCAGTAGCAAAAAGGATTATTAAAGGGTAAATTTGTAGGACAAATGCCTGGGTTGTCCAGCCATTTAAGGAAAATTTTGGTTTAATATTCCACATTGACCATTGACAAAACAAACTAAGACTACTTTATTCTGTAGCGTTAACGGCGGAAATTGATAGTTTTCGCGTATTTTAACTTTTTTTTATTTCACTTAAGAAAATACTGTCTACAAGTTCGCTGAAGCGTCGATGTTACATGATACTTGTGCACATGCGCTTAATTCTTGCCTTTATTTTTTATTTAAAATTTTACAGTTTACATATCTATAGAGACATTACATATTAATATATATTTGTCTTCTATGAAATATGTGGATGATTTTTCTTTTAAGATACATCTCACCATCCATTTATTACAAGATGTCCTATTTTTAATAATTCTTACTCAGCCAATCAGAGCAAGCCTCGATTTCAAGTGAGTTTGAATAGGTGGGGAAATGGCTTGTATGTGAA